TACCCTGTAAGAGAACTATTAGGATCCTTGTGTTGAGGTAGATGTTTATTAGTCTTGTTGACCACCCTCATCTATGAAGTGGATTTAGAATTAATGATGAAAAATCAACACATTGAATTTTAACAGTTTAATTTGCAGAATTATTCTTCTAAAAATGGAATGAATGGAAGTAGGAAAATAGCAAGACAGAATGCTTAGGTCAATCTACATTTTCTTTTCTTGTTGAATGTCTGTGTTTTTCTTTTTCTTATTTTTTTCTTTTTCGTGGTACTGGGGATTGAATTTAGGAGTGTTATACCAGAAGCTCCACCCTTTTTTACATTTCGAGATGCTGTCTCCCTGAGTTGACCCGGTGAGCCTCAAATTTGCCATGCTGCTGCCTCAGCCTCCTGAGTAGCTGTGATTATAGGAGTGTGCACTGTGCCCGACTTCTTTGATAGTTTTTAAGGTTCTGAATTTCCGCCACTGGATATTCAGCTTCTGGTAATTTTGCCAATCAATACTATTTAGCAGTGGTACTCAGAAGAAGTGAAAGAAGATGAGATTCATGGAAATTGCTGTATTACTTTAATCGGCCAGCTAAAATGTTGAAGAGAGGAAGAGCTTTGGGAAGCACTAGCTCAGTGTTACTGCAAGCATACACTGTCACCACGGGCACAGTATTGTTTATTATAGATAATCCTCGCCTGATACCAAAAGACTTCCGTCTCTTGGCTTGCAGAAGAAAATTGTTTTTGCATTAACTAACCAGCAATGTCTTGCCAACATGATCTGTCATAGGACTATGGTTTTATGCTTCTAATAAAACTTTCTTTTCTTACTTGTGAATGTTTCACATTAAGAAATGACAAGAAGGTATTTATTTAGTGACCCTTTTTGGTTCTCACCAACCTAACATGTAACCTCTATCCAGGGAGCTCATCCTGAGTGTGCTAATGTAATGATCCACGTGGTTATTGCAGTCTTTCCACTATAAACATCAGAGCTGTTTTTTGTATTTCTAATTTGTTTGTTCCTAATTAGACTTCCTTAGTTGGTATGACAGCTAAAGTGGATTGTTTGCTGGATACTTTATAAGCATAGCAGAATATGGTAAATTATACCCAGGACTTGGAGTTGAAGGACTCTGCTCACTCCTTTCCACCTGCTGTTCCTTCTGCTGCTTCCCTTGTGCTCAGTATTGCTTCTTGAACTTTCTCAGTTGCATCTTCAGTTTTACTCAGCTTCTTTATATATTTTATTCAAAACACTGGGTATGACGAAGTACTGTTGACGCCCCCCCCAAGAGAACATACTATATATTATGCAAAGAGCTGACTTCTAGTTTTCCTAAGGAAAAAAACCCATCTTTCTTTTGGTGGAGCTCTTTAGACATGCTAACAGCCCCTGTGTCCTAGGTCTCTCCCCACTGTGTGAATTGTAGCAATAGGACTCTAACCCTCAATCTGCTGCTCAGTAGTTTCTTTTTCTCCTTGTCTTAAACCACAGGATTTATTGGATCATTCGTGTACATCAGGAAGTGGCTCTGGTCTTCCTTTTCTGGTACAAAGAACAGTGGCTCGCCAGATTACCCTGTTGGAGTGTGTCGGTAATTCTTTTTCTTTCCTTTTTGGGTACCATGCACTTCTAACTGGTTGCATAGGGGGATGGAACTTGTAAGATCTGCATTTTGTTGCCTTTTATTTCCTTAGTAAACCTAGGAGATGCTGCTGTAAGCACTTTGTAGAGTATGTAGCTATATTAAACTGCAGGAGAGGTGAGTTAGCCATGGGGTCTCTGTTCTTTGAGTATTTGGGTTTGAATCCCTGAATTAGTTGAATCTTTTGTCAAGCACATTGTCATTAATTAGTGTTGAGGATGCCTGGTCAAAAGCTTTTAGTCACACATAGACCCTTTAATATGCTAGAAATCGTTAAGGCTGCTCTTGAACATAGGTATTGAATGACCTGAGGTAAGTAGACTTTTGGACAGCTAAGGGTTACAATTCTCCAATCTTTTTCATTCTTCCTTCCCTTCCTTTTATAATAAATAATGGTAAATAGGCATAGTTATTATTATCAGTTAAAAGAAAGAGCTTATATACATTTTTTAATATTCCTATAATATTTAATATCATGGTGTGTGTATAGTTCATGCCCCTTTTTCAGCTTTAAGCTTACCATTCCATATACTGTGGACCCGTGAGTTGCAACCAGCCTCATTTGAGTTGTGATCAGAATTTTCATTTTAACTTATGAACAGAGTCTTGAGTTATAAACCGAATGCCAGCCACTTGTGCTTCCAGATGATCTCAGATACAGATTTAACCCTTAAAGCATTCTGGAAGGAACATTACAACATCCTTTCCTGTGGGGTTGAGAAACCCTGGGCCAGTGTCCTCCAAGGACCCTGAGATCTGCTTGGAAGAAATTGTGGCCTAAAATTATGCAGGAGAGAGACTTTGAAGGCAGTCGACCAACTTGAGTTACAACCAACCCTGGGTACAAATTGAGTTCTTAAGCCAAAGGTCTACTCTGTTTTGTTTTGATTTTGCTGGCGTTTTTTGTTTGTTTTTATTTTTGGCTGAGACAGGGTCTCTTTATGTAGTTCAGACTGGCCTTGAACTCCCTATGCAGCCTATGCTGGCCTCAAACTCTCATACTCATGGTATTTCTCCTGCCTCAGTATCCTGAGTGCTGGGTTATAGATATGTGCCACCATGCCAGGTTTAAAAGCTTAATTTTTATTAATTTTATGAAGAGGGTAGTTATTTGCAAGTGGCCCAGTGTTTTCATTACCTTCTCCTTCTGCTGGATGGCTGCTGCCACACCTGTGGTGGCTTAATACCATCTGCACTGTGCTGGGTACTGCTTTGGGCTGGGCTTCATAGTTCCAGCCCTCCCAGCTCTTCCTTTGGGTAGGAGGCTGGTCCTCATATGCTGGCTCCACCACTGGCTGCTCTTGTTCAGATTTTCTTTGAGTTTTCATGGAATATAGGACATTCTCAGTCTCAGCAGAAGGAAAGGGGTTGGACAGAGTATGGAGCGAGGTCTGGGTGGAGTATGGCCTGTGGGTGATGGGCAGGGGCTTTGTTGCCTTTTCTCTAGGTCAGCTACTACAACTGTTTCCCACTGTAGGCATCTCTTTCACAGTAGACCAAGAATAGAGAAAATACAGGTGGAAGAGCCCCAGATGTGCTCATTATAAACAACCACAGTTACCTTCTTGCACTAACTAGCAATCTATTTGATTACGGACAAGAGTGTTTGTGTGCTGGTAGGAGGGAGATGAAGGGGGCATGTACCCATCTTGCTGACCCTTTGCCTGCCAATTCTGAGGCTGCTCATCATTCATGGGGCAGCAGCACATCCCAAGATCAGTCCTTAGAGATTAGAGCTGGATCCAAAGTAATATCGTACCTCTGCAAATATATACAGTTTCTGGTTTTGTAGATATTCTTAGCATTTTCTAAAATAGTATAAATCAGTTATTACATTTTGTTGGATTCGCGCTAAAGATTTTAATGCAAACAGTGCCATTTCTGAAACCTGCAGTTAGTGTTGATGTGGTACAGTTTCGAATAAAAATATATGTGATAAACTGGGTAGCGTGTTATCATTTTGGATTCGCAAGCATGGGAAACTGGAGTAGGTCTGTCATTTCCAGATGATGTTAAGGAACCCCCAAGTTTCAGACGCCTTGGGGACCTCCTTTGTGGGGCTTCATGGCCAGGGATCTATGCAACTCTGCTTTTTTTGTGTGTGTGTTTCTGTATGTATATGGTTGCATTTGTAAAAAAGCAGTTGACAACTTTAAAGCAGTCAAAAACCAATGAAATAATATTCTATCTTAATTCTATTGCACTGCTATACATCTCCTTCCTTCCTTCCTTCCTTCCTTCCTTCCTTCCTTCCTTCCTTCCTTCCTTCCTTTCTTTCTGAATTTATTGGTACTTAAGTATACAGTACAGTTACATTCAGCATTAGGATCTTGTACCTTAACATGACAGATCTTGGTTCTCATTTTTTCCCCTTACCCCTGCCCTTCCTTCACCCCCTCTCCTCTTCCCTATTTATAAAAACTTTGTTTCCATTTTTTTCTTTTTCTCATATTTTTTCTTTTCCCTTATTTCCTTTCCCTTACCCTTCCCATTCCCCCTATACCTTTAGCCCTTTTATTCCTATTTCACATTATCAGTTATACAATTTGGATCTTTTAAGTTTTTTACACCAGAGAAACGATTTGGTATTTACATGTGTGTCTTATTTATTTCGCTTAAGAATATGGTCTCAATGAAAGTGCAAGGGCCTGAATTCGATCCCTGGTACCAAAAAAAAAAAAAAAAAAAAAAAGAATGGTCTCAATATACATCCATTTTTTTGTGAATAACTCATTTTTACATTTTTTTTTTTTTTAAAAAAAAAAAAAAAAGAATGGTCTCAATATACATCCATTTTTTTGTGAATAACTCATTTTTACATTTTTTTTTTTTTTAAAAAAAAAAAAAAAAGAATGGTCTCAATATACATCCATTTTTTTGTGAATAACTCATTTTTACATTTTTTTTTTTTTTAAAAAAAAAAAAAAAAGAATGGTCTCAATATACATCCATTTTTTTGTGAATAACTCATTTTTACATTTTTTTTTTTTTTAAAAAAAAAAAAAAAAGTATGGTCTCAATATACATCCATTTTTCTGTGAATAACTCATTTTTACATCTTTTGCTTTCTTAAAAAAAAAGAACAAAGGGTTTATGACAACAATTCATTAGGATATTTTCCCATCTTGTGAATGAAGACAAAGAGAAAATAAATATATAAAATAAAACCAAAGCAGGAAAAGCTTAGCATATAATTTTGTAGTATGTTAGCAGTAGCCCTCATCTCGAGTTGCAAATACTGAGCAATTGTTATGAGGTAGTAAAACGAACCCTGTATTAAATAGTATTTGTGTGGCCTGACAGCGGTTCACAAGAAGCACTTATCAGCCCCATTTAACACACTTTGGATTTATCATTGGTATTTATTAGGGACTCAGGTTCATGTCAGGGATGTCCTGTTTCTCCACATGGGGGTTCTCGGTGGCTCAGTATATCCCTGCACATACAGGTGGTGCTGCAGCTGCTTAGCACAGCCTTGTGATCCCAGCAGCCACTTGCCTCCGCAGAAAGCCCCACTGCCCTGCAGTTGTGTCTCCTGCTGCCTTGCTCTCCAGGCTGATTATACCGCGTGTTGATCCCCATAGTCTCGAGGTAATTACCTCCTCCTTTCAACATCCCTGAGCACCCCTACCTATAATTAAAGAAAAGAATGGAAGAAGGAGCATGTTATTGACAGGTTGACAAGTGTGTAGTTGCTACAAGAAGAGGGTCATACGCCACACAGGACAGATCGCAACTAAAGTCACCACATTTTTCAGACTATGTTTTCCAAGGGGCCTTTTTGGTGTAGTCCATTTGTGCCATCACAGATACCCATGACCAATGTCAGAAATCAGAACTGTTCTGGGATTATGTGTTAAAACTTTGCAAATCCTCTTTAGAAATATATCCTCTGCCAAGAAATCCTTTAGGGATAGTGGTAACAATGCTTGCTGGTCTCCTACATAGCAGTGTATTTTGCTGTTTTGTTTTTGTTTTTAATCCCCAGAACACACATCTCAAACTTAATAGTCTCCTTTGTGAAAAAATACATAAGTAAATTCAGATCTGTATGCCTAGAAAATGCTTCTGTTGATTCTGAAGAAGGGAAGGAACCAAGAAAGCCATTTGACTCAGCAAGATACACGTCACTGGGCTTTCAGCACAACACATTGAAATTTAATAATCTGTACCGTACTCTTAAGTTTTACTGATTTTATGTTTTTAAGAACCATATGCATTTTATACCTTTCAGTTGAGGAATTTAATCTAAACTTGGGGATTAGCAGCTAATTGTACAATGCAGAGCAGAAGACAATTTTTTATCACTATGTGGTGGCTGGGTGTATGGGGGTTCTGTCTGATTTTTCTTTTGTTATTTTTAAATGTCTTTATAGGCCAAAGGTGGTGGTATTTATATCCCCCAAATGATTTTCTTCAGCAGCTAATGGAAGGGATTGAGAGCCACAGGCACTGGGTTCATTGGATCATTCTCAGGAGTCATTGCAGCCAGCTGCCTCTTGTCTGTCTGTCTTCCAGAGAAGTCACTTTTGTTTTGTTTTCCACAGGAAAAGGCAGATATGGTGAGGTGTGGAGGGGCAGTTGGCAAGGGGAAAATGTTGCTGTGAAGATCTTCTCCTCCCGGGATGAGAAATCATGGTTCAGGGAAACAGAACTGTACAATACTGTGATGCTGAGGCATGAAAATATTTTAGGTAAGTACAGAGTGAGCAACTCATTGATTTATGGAGGTAGATGATTGCCCACCTTGCCCTCTCTGGTTTGCTGAGTGTGAATTGGAAGGTCTCTCCTGAAAGCAGTGTAGGGATACTCAGCACTTATATGCTGCTTAATTTTCTTTTAACGTCAATTTCTTATTCAAATCTGCAAACAAGTTAAGTTATAAGATTCTCTGGATGAGGAAAAGGAAATCCGTTATTGCTCATTCTTATTCCTGCATCTGCAGATCATTACTTAAACAACAAAAATTTGCCCCATATTGTTCACTTCAAGGCTTCATGGGTTGTTCTACTTACCCCACCCTTTTTGAATATTTATTACTTGAATCAATTTAAGAAAGATCGTTGGACTCTTTCCTAGAGATTCACAGCTTCCAGGGACATCATAATTAAATGCATATTTCCTCAAACTAGGCATCATTTTTAAAAGACCAGATTTACAGAGGGATTCAGCATACATTTTGATTTGGAAACTAAAGCTTAGCAACATTTGTGAAATATGTAAAGTGCCCACCAAAATCTTGCTATGACAGTATAAAGGGTGAACATATTCCTTGGGCCCATTGATATCTACAGTTTTGGGAAATTTCTGTAAATGTGCTTATATTAATAGATACACGGTGAATGCTACCTGTGTGCTTCTTTAATAGTGGATATGTAGTTTGTACCCTACTGTGTAGGATTGTGTTGCCCACTTTATGGTTACTTGACTAAGCCTGGCTTATAGAAGGACCCTTGTGAAAGTTTATTTGTTTCACTAAAATCAATTTAGCATTTCAAGCTGAGTCAGGTTGTTGATGATGCTCCCAGAGCTTTGCTTCAGTGGTGTGGTGTTGATGTTTCATTTCAGAACTGTTTGAAATTTGGCTGATGGTTTCTCCGTTTCTCTTACTTCTGAGACCCTAGTCCTCACCTGTTCCTCCTCATGTGTACTGCATCGTCATCTTCCCATTTCTAGTCTCTTGCTCCACACAGAAATATCTTCCTTTTGGGAGCATAGGTAATTCTGCTCCAAGTGTCTCTGATGGCTCCAAAATGGAGTGCAATATAAATGACTTCTGTGCCCACACTCAGGACTCCCTCTTTTGGGGCTCCAACGAGCCTCCTAAGCTCCGCCTGCAAATATGTCCTCATTCAGTTACCACCATTACTTCCCATACCTTGGAACTGCTGCAGACCTATAGGTTTCTTGGTCCTTGTTCATGTTGTTCTTGGTCACCCATATTTCTTTTCTCCCTCCAACTCCAAAATTGTCTCATGCTTTTAGAAGGCACTGCCTGACTGCTTATTCACTGAGCTTCCTGAGACCAATAGAAAGTAAAGAAAACTACTTGTGCAAAATACTAAATTACCAACTTCTTATATTGATTGTTGAATTCTGGGCTATTTAAAAATATAATAGTGGCCAGGTATCCTTGATCACTTTTCCGGTGTTTTAGGCATCATGTTTAAGTGTTTTTACGTGCTATATACACCTCTTTTATTCTCACAGATATCCTTTGAGGTATGCTAATATTATCCTTATCTCATGAAGGAGGAAGGCAAGTTGGAGATTGAGTGACTTGGGCAAGATCACGCAGTTTGGGAGTGGTGGGGCCAGTGTGTGACCCAGCAGTAGTGGTCTGAGCTGCAGTTCTCTGAGCAGCTGTGCTGTGTGGTGGCTTCACATCTCAGCTGTCACAGTGCCTGGTTCCTGGAGCATCACCAGAGTTTTAACCTCTGGGCACCTGTGCATCCTCTACTTTATTGTTAGATAAAAGATCAAAGCACACATTTCCCATGCAAGTGCTCCAGCCTGGAGAAGCAAATACATCATTCACACTTGAGACATAAACAGTTGAAAAAAACCTTCCTTGTTTAGAAGTCCCTTTTTCTGAAGGTTTAGCACATAATTAACTGGAAAAAAATCTTTTTTTTTTTTTTTAAGACCTAGAGGGTGAAGGGAAGGTGAGGTAATAAAAAATTTGCTTGTTATTTATTTAATCAGAGAGCCCTCTCCTTTGGGGGAGGAAATCAACACCGAGGCCACACCAATATACAGTAGCAATTTAAAGTTTTTAAGGGATGTTTTATTCCTTTATTGTGTTCAAAAGTTTCCTCCAGTGTAGAAAAGTTTTCACTTTTCTTCCATACCAGTTCACTTGTCACTTCTTGATTATAATAACTAGACCAGATTATTGTAATTCTTTACTCTGGGCTCATGCTGCCTTTTGTAGATAAATATTGTAGTAAGTTTTACATTATACTATTTTTCATTTTTGTATGTCTTTTTTAGCCAAAAAGCATTATCACTGTGGTGTTTTTGGTGTGACAAAGCATTATAAATGCTAAATATATTCGATCATTTGTGTTATTTGGTGAATCAGTAAATTAGTTTATGAAACTCATCCCTTTGTTTTGCATCTGAGAGAGCCTACATGAACTGCGTGCTATAAATTGTAGGCAGAGTTGGGACTAGCATACAGTTGTCCTGGTTTCAGGCCTTTTTTTAGGGGTTGTTGAATGATCTGTGCTGGGAATATCAACAAATGAAGAGTTTGGCACTATCATTATGGATGAGTGCAAAGGTATCAATCCTGTCTGAATCTTAATATAATATAAAGACATTAAAAGATTACTTATAATAGAAAGTAATATAGCATTTTATATTAATAGTATCCTTTTAAGAAATAAATTATTTTTTTCTGCTGCTTCTAAAAACCTCATGAAAGTTGGTTAATACTCTTATTTTTTGTTACAGATGATTTCTATAGTGTGACTATTTAGGATACAGTAAGTGGGTTTGTGTTAATTTTGTTTTTGCTCTCTAGGTTTCATTGCTTCAGACATGACATCAAGACACTCCAGCACCCAGTTATGGTTAATTACACATTACCATGAAATGGGATCGCTGTACGACTATCTTCAGCTCACTACTCTGGATACGGTTAGCTGCCTTCGAATAGTGCTGTCCATAGCAAGTGGTCTTGCACATTTGCACATAGAGATATTTGGGACCCAAGGGAAACCAGCCATTGCCCATCGAGATTTAAAAAGCAAAAATATCCTAGTGAAGAAGAATGGACAATGTTGCATAGCAGATTTGGGTAAATTTTTAAAAATATTTTTAAATTGCCACTTTTACCTATTGTCGTATTACAATATCCAGTCAGGATGTACCTCTTTTTTCTGACATGTTATAAAAATCTTCAAACATACAAAAAGTTGAAAGAACATTGTAGTCAACACCTACCATCTATGTTTTCCCAGTAATATTTACTGCTTTGTCATGTATCTTTCCATCCATCAGCTCATCTTAATGTTTGATATAGCTCAAAGTAAGTTGCAAACAAAAGAACTTTTTCCTCTAATGACTTCAACACCCATGCTAGTGTACCATTAACTAAAGTAACTTACTTGTTTATTCTTTTCTTCTTCCCAGGTAAAATTTACATACGATGAAATATATAAATCTTAAGCATCCTTAGAGTATGACAAATGTGAATTCTGAATCTCCACAGAGCCTCCCCAGTTACCTCAGGCCCATTCAGTTGGCCTCTGCCCCACCATCCGACGTGGACAATACTGTTACATTTTGATTTCACAAAGCTCCCATGAAGTAGGGGCACAACTACATAGTCTGTGGAATGTTTTTTTTTTTTTTTAAAAGGTTTCTAAAATTATTCTTCTATTGTCAAGACCAATAAATCAATTTGAGAAAGAGGAAAATAGCTCTCAAACTAGTTAACCCTTTGCCTTGCTGAAATACCTCATTTTTATGATGTTTGGATAATGCTCATTATATCTATAAGTAAGATTATTTTCATGTAGAGTGCCAGCATATGTAAAACTTTACTCGACTTCGGCTCTAAAATACTGGCTGAATAATTGTGCTAATAAGAAATAAATTATAATTATTAGTCATTATTTCAGT